CAAATTTTTAATAGATTATAATTTTTTAATAGATTATAAATATTTAAAAGCATAATTAGTTTGGCTTATTTTTATATGATAGCTAGTTTAAAATATTTTGATCACCTCTCAAATTCTTAATAGATTATAATTTTGTAATAGATTATAAAATATTTTGAAGCATAATTATTTATTCACAGAAAAGATATTACATAGTATTATACATGTTTTTTTTTGTTTTTTATATATGTTTGAATCAATGAACTATGGGCTTAAAATAAATATCAGTCGAGAAATTTTCAAAACTTAAGGGTAAGTTATATGCACTCCCCCTCCCTCATATCCTGGCCCCACCCTTGCTGACCCCTCTGCTCCAGTGACCTTTAATCCAGTAACTTGTCTGGGTCACCCCGATCCAGTTTTATCAATATACGTGCAAATATGCCTAACATTTTTTAATGTTAAAAGAAGAAACTATCTAATGTTTTTATTAGGATAAAAATTCCTAATTTGGTAGGTTTCGGCATCATGTCCCCCGTATTTCCCTTTTGGCCCAAGAAACAACTTGTTATGGACAACTAATGCTTGTCCATCACTTTTTTATTAGTAATATTTAAGGAAAACTCCGTATAAATAAATAATTATTATAATGGTTTGAAAAAATGAAAAGATGTTTCGTTGTCTAATTATTATTCCGCAACTTATATGAAAAGTGAAATATAACAAAAAATAACAAAACGTACGTAATTTAGAAAGCCTACCTCTGCACTTTGTTTTAAAAAGTGTAACATATGTATGTTGTGTTAAGTGATTTTTTTAATATTATACTCCGTATAAGCTTAAGAACAAATAACATGTATATTACTAATAGAGTTTATCTGGACAAAAATATGACTAGTTATGTTTTTGGACAAAAATATGATTAGTCACTGTGTACAAGTCATAATATACACTATAATGTATTTTTCAATAACAAGTCACTGTAAATGACGAGTCGTTGTAAACTAGTCACTAAATATGTCTTTTTTTTGGAAAATTTTAAAACACGTCATGTTTTTGTCTTTTGAATTTTAATTAATTTAGTAATATTAACAGAAAAAAGGCCTAAGTCTAATATGATGTTTTCATAAAAATTTAGCACGTAATTTAACACCGGTGTGTTGCAAAGTTTTCACAGACATGCTGCAATTTTTTAATTTAGTTTTTAATAGGGGTGGACGCGGTCCGGAACGGTCTGGTAAATTAGCAAAACCCAAACATACTCGTGAGGTTTCTAACGATTCGGTACTGTCCGGTTCTAAGAATGGAAACATTCGATATCATGTTCTTTCAGAATGGTACAAAATGATACGTTACAATACTAAACTAATGATAAATTGTTTGAACAAATCTTGCAATTAGTAGATTTCATCTTTAGTAAAATGATGATACACTAGATAAACATCATCTTTATTAAAATCATATATGTTAAATAAAATATGAATATCATCAAATTGTTGAATATAATTGAAAAATTCAACATTCTTCTTCTTTGTTCAAGGTTAAATATTATTTCTCATATTTAGAATTTCACTGTGAGCGCTAAGATTTAAATCATACTCCCTCCGTTCTTTAATTCTTGTAACATTGTGATTTTTGCACTATTCACAGACCTTACTTTGATCACGATTTTCTACTAATATACATAATCAAATTATTAAGTATAAAATGTTATTTAACTCCTATCAATGTGAATTTCCAAAATATCAACTTTTTATAACGTTTACTAATACATAATTAAATATAATTACAATCAAAGTTGTGCATTGACAAATGTGAAAGTCAAACTGTTGCAAGAATTAATGAACATAAGATAGTATGAAGTAAGTTGCAAAACTACACAAATATGATACAACTAAAAGTCATATACACTACATTACTGGAAATCAATCGTCATTAATCATATTAAATATTTTATACCAAAATATATCATAAATTGTCAAAAAGAAAAACTAACAATATTTATATAAACACACAAATAGCTATTTTAGGGACACATGAATAATATACATACTTGGGCTATAAAATTGTTGGTTTAAAAAGAGATTTTTTGGTATGAAAAAATATATAAAAATCTCAAATGCAATAGTTTTGAACGGTCCGGTATTTTTCGGTTATCAAAATCAAGGACCGGTCCCATACCCGTTTCAAATCTATAGAACTGCTTAAATATCCGGTATACGGTTCAGTACCATTACATGCCGATTCAATACTAGTTCGGTTTGGTTCGATACGGTCACATTATTAAATTAATTTCTGTTTTTATAAATTTAAAATTACCAGTATTACAAATTAAAGAAATCTAATCTATTAAGTTTAAATAGTACTAACAATTTTGTTTGTCTTAAAAAATTATAACCAATTTTTCGAATTTTACAAAAACAGTGAAATTAATGTAAAGCTTAGATACTAAGGTTTGGTTTACAAACAATTAATTTAAGTGCTTTTGACTTTTTTTTTAAAGAAAAAAACACTTATTTTACCAAACAATACTAACTTTACTTTCTTGATTTTCGTGTAGAATCTACTTTTTACTTTTTCTATTACACAAAAAGCACTTATTTTACCAAACACTACCAACTTTTAGTACTAATCACTTTTTCCAAAAAAGTGCTTTTATTTAAACACAATCACTTGCAAACAGAGCCTAAGATGATAAGTGAGATGTGTGGTTCAAGTAGTCTCACTCCTACACTTAAGATTATCCCTGTGTGGGAGATCTTGAGTTCAAGTCATCAAAGAGGTAATTTGAGAGATACGAGCAATCAAATACTAAAGCAAAAATAGTCATGTTTTTGAAATTTGTTCATGTTTTGGTCTATGAGCAAAAAGTTTGTTCATTATCTATTTTCCCTACCTAATGTATTAATTGTCTACTTTTGGGGGTTTTTAATTATTGTACTTGCATTTAAGCTAACAAGGTTAAATGTGCTTCATGAAATAAACATTTGTGATATTTAGCCACGTTAGGTTACAAACTTATTAGGGGCTTAATTGCACGGGCAGCTAAAGGTTAAAACTGAAAGGTGCATTTAAACATTTTTCTATTAAAAAATCATGCTTTTTTAATCATCAAACTGATATATATTATATTAATGAATCGTTAGCCATTAGGCTAGAAATACAATCACGCATATCATCATAAACAACACACTGATTTGAGATAGCAACGTGTGCCCGTACAAGAGCATGAACAACACGATTCGCAGACCTTCTACACAAAGAGATATCAAAGTTACTCTCTGTTTCCAACATTTCTCTAATATCATCAATGAGCAAGTGAACGTATGCCGAGCCCTCCCTCTTGGAGATGCCATGAACCACTATAAGAGCGTCAGTTTCAATCATCACTTTCAACCACCCAGCCTCCTTAGCACTTATTATAGCATCCCGGATTCCCATAGCCTCCGTCTCTTTAGCTGTCCACCCTGCTGTGCATGAAACCCCTCTAGCTTGGATAAATCCTCCTTCCTCATCCCAAACCACCCAGCCCCATGACCGGATCCCTCCAATTTCGTTGACTGCTCCAATTTCCTTAAAAAATGTCTTTCTAAGTAGCTCTTCAACTTTTTTTTAATAAGCGTGTTTGTTGGGTTAATGGCCCAAGTTAAGGGGCCGGTCCATTCACCCCCTCATTCCGACGAACGTCTGAGCAGGATAATGGTGAATCAAACTTGCAGGCAAACACAGTAGCGACGAACGGTTGATCCAACGCCTTGTTTACAAGCCCATCCCGACGAACATCTAGATATATAATGGTGGATCAGGCCCACAAACAAATTTAGTGGCGACGAACGTCGCCAGCTCAAGTCGCAGCCACTTGATGCCAGTCCCATCTAAGTGACAAATCCTCTAAGGGTCAGGATACGAACGGCCCACTGCCCTTTGCAGCACCATCGGGAGCAGGCCCCCATCCCAGCTGGACGTACGTCTCCACAACTTAGGCGGGAAACCCAGATTCTGGTGGGAAACGCATTTAATGTTGAAGATTTGGTGGTTGGAACCCCAGCCACACACAGCCCTCCACGTCAGCATAGCCATCTGCCCATTGGTGGTATAAATAACAACATTTATTTCATTGTAAAGGGTTGGCAACTTACTATTCTTAGCACTCTAGTTTATATTTCTCTTACTCGCAGCTCTTCTACTGCTTTGTAGGACGTACGGCTGACGAGCCTTTAGCAAGCGTATTGTATTGGGGAGTTATTAACTGATTAATAATACTTGATCTCTTACTTGCTACATACTCTCTTTAATCCATCTTACTTGTTGGTTGGGCTAGTTTATTCATACACACATACACCACTCCACTCGAAATCTTTGGGATTACGTGTTGTACCCGAAGGTTGAAGGAATAAACCTCAACAGTGTCTAACAGAGAGATTTTAAGGAGTCATATATGACTTCTCTATGGAATTATATGGCTTAATTAGGTGGACATCACCATCACTACACATTTTTTTAGTGGGGTTGTTCATTAAAAAGATGTATGGTGTTGGGTGATGCCACATAGGGTATATGACTCCATAGAAAGAGTCATGTATGGTTCTTTAAAATTTTTGTGGTCTGATTTGCATGGTGGTATGCTTTTATTGATATGGTCTGTTCTTATGTGGTCAATATGATCCTATACGTAGACTATGTAGTGTTAGTTTGCTGATTTTGTTCATGTATAATTAACTTGATCCACTTTGATCAAATTTGATCTATTTAGATATGATCAAATCTAGTTATTTTATAACACCTGCCTGATCTCGGAAAAAGAATTAAATAAACCCCTTTACCATCATCTTACAATCATCACTTAAACCCATATATTTAAATAAGTGTCATATACGTTGATTTGCTTGTAAAAAAGGGCCATTTATTCAAATGACCCGAAGTTGACTTAAAATAACGACTTAACAATGAAATAACGACTTACATTATAAAGATAGTAGACAAAAAAGTGACATCTTATATACAATAATGACTATAAAACTTTTAGCAAGTTTAGTTACATTCTATCTCTATATAAGCACATTCTTCTCTACCAATGCTAATACCACACTACTCGAAACATAAGTGTATTGGGTTGAATCAAAGATGCATCATATCATTCGCCAGTAAAGCCTCTAGCCTTTTCACTGAAATTGCGTACAAACACAAAAACAATACAAGTATATATGAATTGCTCATCTCATTTATCTAATAAGATCACATTCTCATTCCATCTAACATCTATATATAGAATGTGTGTAGGTATACACACTCCGATATGATATGATCATCTAGGGATACACAACCTTCACCATATATATCAAACTTTCTAAGCATAATGTGGGAGGGGGGGGGGGGGCTAGGTTGGGGCATATATATCAATATATGCTTGATTAGGTTAAACATGGAAGCTCTAGAAAAGCTAAGCCACGTTCAACACATTGGTTGTCGGCTGACAATGCATGGGAAGGAGCTTTTCAGCTGGAAATACCCCTAAACTTTACATACTCATTCCCAAGAAACCAATTCTGAGGATTAGAAAACCAAAAAGAAGAAATCAAATAAAAAGAATAACCTAATTAATTAGCTAAAAACCCCAAAATCAGATGATAGCTGATCCACAGATCATCAGAAGAGTACTCTCAGCTGCAATTCCATATCTATAATATTGGTCTAGTCACGCTCCTTTTGAACCCAGTCTGGTCTGCCTAATGTGAATTCCAAGCTAGGGTTCTTTTCACAATCCTGCAAAATTCATGGGTTTGCATATTTGATTAATCACAAGGTCTAATTTGAAAGTCAATGTAGATGAGGTGCAAAGTTAAGTATTCTTGTTCAAATAGATTTTTCTATTTTGACAAAATAAAAGAGATTTTTCTAAAATATTACTCCGTATCAAAATTTGATTTCTAGACAAAAAGTGATTCAAGTTACTATAAGTATAACAGTATGGTCATTATAATGCAAAATTAAACATTATCATAATAACTAAAAGTTATTAATATAGTCACTAGATATAAGATATCATTCTTATCCATCATCTTTATTTAGTAATATACATATTGATCGAGGCCGTTTGGCAGCATTGTTTTCGGCTTATTAGGCTTATCAACCAACTTTTTCACCAAACACGTAATTTTTGATTTCGCGCGCTGCATTGTGTAATAAGCAGAAAAAGTAAGGTTGAAGTTACTTTTCTAGCTGTATTGACTGAAGTTACTGTAGATGATCATTTGAGCTACTTTTACATACGTAGTATACTTTTTTCTTTATTTTATTTATAAAATATATTTTAAAAATAATTTTTTCTTAAATCAGCAGAATCAGCCAATGTAGCCACTTCAGTCAGGACTTCATAAATTTCAGCAGAATCATCCAAATCAACCAATTTTTGTGCTACCAAACGGGCTCATTATGTCATTATTTCTTTTAAAATGCTAATTTTTATTCTTACTATTTAGCTCACAATTATCATCATTAAACTTTAGAAGAATAACAACGTCACCGTTTAAGATGTAACATGTTAGTATGTTACCACTGACATCTCTACACATTCTAAGATTCTAACCACTAACTATTAACACTTTGATTAATTCATATGTTTACACCTAGATAGTTGGAATAAGGGAGTGTTTGCAACTGCTTCTGCTTAAAAAAAAGCACTTTTGGAGATGTAATGAAAAAGTGATTAGTAGTAAAAGTTGATAGTTTTTGAGAAAAAAGTGATTTTGAAAAGTAAAAGTTGATAGTGTTTGGTAAAATAAGTGCTTTTTGTGTAATAAAAAAGGGAAAAACACTTTTCACACGCAAGCCGAGAAAAAGTAAAAATTGGAAGTGTTTGGTAAATAAGTGCTTTTTAAAGCCAAAAGCTGAGAAGTGCTTTTTTTTAAGCTATTGCAAACACTCCCTAAAAGATACTCCGTAAATTGCAACAAAGTTCAGCACCGCCACCAAAGCGTCCGTTGACTATGTACTTCGTATGTTATTTTTAGGGCAACTTGCGACCTCATTATTTTCATTGAATTGAAGAAACTTTTAACTTAGGGTAACACATGCAAAACGCCTATCTTCTAACTTTTACACTATTTCATAAAATCTCCCTGAATAATTATGGTTCCCACTTGTCAGCTCTACTAATTAAATTAATTTATGGCAGCATATTAAAAAATAATTAATTTGTATCACTTTTAAGAATTAATATATTAATTGATTAGAAGACCTACCTCGATTGGATGACCACATCTTTGTTGCTGTTGAAAGGATGATGATCTGATAAGGCCACTCCCATCGAGTGAATTACCAGTTTGTAACCATCCTTCTCTGCTGCTGAAAGTTGGAAGACAAAAATATCAATTTGCTGAAGACTTTGAAAAAAATCAGGCCATCATTAATATTTATCACTTTTAATTTTCCACACTGTCCGGTTGTTCACAACATGGAAAACAATTTTATACCACATATGACACGCCGATCATATGAAATCGTACCTAAGGTGTGTTTTTGCACATTATAATACCGAGTATGTTAGATTTAGAGTGGGTTTGATAATATTGGGTAAACATGTGATTCTGCTAAAATTAATGAAATTATGATTGAAGTGGCTGCACTGAGTGATTCATTGATAAAATTATATTTAAAACATATTTTAATAATGAAATAAAGAAAGAGTTATATGGAGTATAAAATAGCTAAATTCAACCTTATCTATAGTAAATTTAGCTTATACAACCACAAAAGTAAATTCAACCTTATTTATTGTAATTATCACACAACTCAAAATAAAAAATTAGATAAGTTGAAAACCGGGTCACCGCTCATCCATATTACAAAATTGAAGTGATAATTAAGGCCACTACACTAAAAGAGAAACCTATCCAAAGAAAGCCTACAAGGCCACAAGATCTCAAGATTCCAATCCCACTTACAGTTAATTAGCTCGCGCTTTTGATCCTCAACATCAAATCTATTCAAACATTTCTCTTCTTTGTTGCCATATTTTTCTTATACTCGTAGTATCGTATACCATTTCCGTGTCTAATAAGTTTCTCCATTCCCTTGATTACCATATATTGTTAAAAGCATAATCAATGCATATTAAGGATGTTTTTAATTTATTTTTTTGGTCTATTTTGTCTGGTCTAATCTGGTCTGGTCTGGTATGGTCTCTTTGTAAGGGTTATGTCTAAAATAATACTAAAAAAAGAGTTATGGATAAAAAAGGGACCTTTTTTTTACTTTCCAAAAATGAGACTAAAAAGAGATTAAGAGACTATTAAACCCTTGAACTAATATAATCTCATCCATTAGTGCTCCAGTATAATCACATGGACCAATATTGACCAAAATCCGTCCAATGACCAACGTTCGCCCGTCCAGTGACCAGCGTCCGCCCGCACAGTTACAGTTACCCGACCCATCCAGTTACAGTTACCCAACCTGTCGAGTTACAATTACCCAACCCGTCTAGTTACAGTTACCTTACCCGTCCATTTACACTTACCCGACCCGTCCAGTTACAGTTACCGACCCACCCAATTATAGTTACAGTTACATAATCCGTCCAGTTACAGTTACCAACCTGTCCACTTACAGTGACCAATTCGATCGTGATCAATCCGACCGTGACCAATTTGACCTTGACCAACCCGACTATGACCAATCCGACCGTGACCAATTTGACCTTGACCAACCCGACTATGACCAATCCGGTCATGACCAAACACGGCCATTGACCACCCCGGCAGTGAGCGGCCATTGCCCATGCTCTGGCCGCTGCCAACCATGCTCCGGCCGCCACCGGATCAGTCTTACAAACCTTACCCGACCCCACCATCGCCCAAGACCTTGTCTGGACCTCATCTCGTGCCCCCAGGCAACCAGGCGCATTACCTCCGCCCACCATTTCCCCCTTCCCTGTTGCAGGCGGCCGCAGATCTAATAATTAAGGCCGCTGCCGTCGCACACAAAACTGCATCATATCCACCACAGATCTGGTAATGCAGGTGAAGGCTTTGTAGAATCTTCTCCCGTCATCTATGGAATCGTCGACCAAGACAGCTTCGTTGTTGAGACGCTGAAGCACCGAGACGAAGAAGAACAACACTGTTGGCGAGCAGCGGCGGCAGGCGCAGGGGGCAGGCGCGGGCGACGACGTGTATCGGCGAAAAGGTGTCCGGCATTGATGTTTGGAGGTTTGCTCGGTGGTGTTGTTGCGTGCAGGGGAGAAGTTCGGAGAAGATCGTGGGATCTGGAGTCTGGTGCGTCGCTTGGAGGTTTGGTGTCAATTGAAGATGCTGGTCCCTTTTTGTCAAATTAAAAACAGGTCCTATGTTTGGAAAGTCAAAAGTCCGTAGTCTTATTTCAGCCTTTATTTCCTCTTTGTATTTTTATAACTATTCAAGTCTGGCCTGGTATGGAACAGTCCAAGTTAAAACATCCTAAGATTAGTGCAGAGCTCTGCAACAAACCCCTTACACACATTGTAACGTTATACTTGTCCTAGTTAGGATGTTTTCAATTGTACTTGTCTTGGTCTTAAACCAAACTTGATTTAATTTAAACGTAACATAGCAAATCAAACTTATATAATACGTAGTAGTAAATACACATATGTCATGTAACAAGCTTTACTAGACTAGGCATAAAAAGAATAGACCATATTACTACGTATATTAGAATAAAATAAATCAGAAAATTACTGTGTAGGTGAAAACATATACGGAGTATATCCTTATTATTCATTGATCAAAGTGAACTTTTATTTTATTTTATTTTATTTTAGATTTTCTTAAAAAAATTTGAGTCAAATAATCATGTCACTATATAATTTCGGTTTATAAAACTTACAAGTTTTTTGCTAATCAAATTTTATTTGCTTATATGCATTATTTTTTTAGGTGTTATAAAAAAAATTTAAAAATATCTTCAGTCATGTCTTTTTCTAATAGAACAAAAGCCGGAAGAGGGATTACGTTTGGTCAAACTGTAACTCTTAGATATTGATTATTGTGTACAACCAGTATATACAAGCTATCATTCAGATTTATAATATCATAGACACTATTTAAAGGTGACTTAGAAGAAACTAAGTTTTGTTTGTTGGAACATGTTGACTTTTGCTTATTTTGTTCAATTATTAAAAATTTGAAATTTGTCATTACGCCATCAATCATTAACTTTTTCCAAATATAGTAGTGCAACATGGGATAAATTCACAAATGTGGCTAATTGTGTTTTGCTTAAAAAATAAGACTTATTAGGCCCTAATAAGAGAATAAAAAGGGCAAAACTTGATTTTCTAAAAAGTCATACATTGGTCATATTCGTGAGAATATGTTATTTTTAATTATATTTAAGAAATTTTAGAACGAATATCCCACCGGGTCAACAACGAGACAAGAACAATATTCTATTTCTTTCGACCCGATAGAAATAACACATAATTTTCTTAGCATTTTATCTAGTGTGAGATAACTCTTTTTTTGAAAGTGTGTAAGAACTTAACAAGCGGAAAACGTCCTGTTTATTCCATATTTTATCACTCAGAAAGGCGTGTGATTTATTCCCAACACAACTTTAAGTGTTGTTGGTCTTGAAGAAGCTAAGTGGGGAAAGAATATAAGTAGATAATTAAGGAAGACAGTATACGGCTCCAAAATTCCAATTCATATGAGGTTTAATTAACACACAAGAAATATAAGTGACCAAGTCAATGTAGTTCTCTTCCACTTCAAATTTCAAAAATGTCTTAAATTTTAAGATAAAAAATCCTGTGTATTTTTTTTTCTCAAAATTATTATTTGTACCGACCTTGCCCGAGCCATTATCCTGCTCGCGAACACTCATAAACACTTTTTCTCATCATAAAGTATAAAATATAGATTTTGGTATAATATGTGTGTATATAAATACAGAGACAGTCTCTCTCTCTTTCTCTTTTATTTTGTATGAAAACTCAAAAGACACATACAAAAAGACAAACACACGAACACAAAAACAACGGGTGGCTTATATACATAAATACCACTCCGTGAAAAGGAGAGCACTTAGGTCAAGATTCTGGTCCCTTTCTGTAGACTGCTCATATATGCTAAATTTCCTCGAGAATGGAATAAACTTGAAATGCATTTTATATTATTATTTCAACTACAATAGACTGAAAAGGTGAGGCAATGCAATATAGTGGTAAATACTTTTTACTTTTGCAACCCCGAATCACAGTCAAACTCAACATGTCAAAGAGAAAAGCTGGGCAAAAAGTTTTGAACTTAGAGGGTTTCATGTTATCCAAATATTTGACTTTCTATCCCATACTTTATTTTATTTCAGTTTCCATCCCATCAACGTCCTTATAGGTTATATAATTAATTAGTCGGTAAATTTTATGCATTAGTTTGTGTTGTTTTCCCATCATTTTGCAATATGAAAATGACGGAATAAAACAAAATGACTCACTAAAATGTCTACGCTTCTTTGTTATGAAACAACAGTCAGTCCATTGAATTTTCGAGGTGATTTTCACTATGAGTCATCTGAAAACAGTGTTTTAGTACTTTAGTACATGAGTAAGGCTACATAAATCCAACCCCTTCATTACCCCGCCGTAGGTGAGAGTAAGGCTTCTTTTGTGTTATTTCTACATTACTATCCTTCCAAATGAAAATTCATGTCTTAAATGATGGAGTGCAAAGTTAAGTACTAATTATAAAGTCGGGAGATTTGAAATTTTAGTCCTATAACTTTTGATTGTTTCATTATTACTTCGTAAATTTAGCCACTTACAATTTTGGTCCTGTAATTGATACAGAGTACATCTTTGCGATTTAAGCACATTTCCGGAAAAGTACACATTCTTGCAAAAATATAACAGAAAAGATGCCGCCTGCATTGGACTATTCTACCGGATAGTGTACTTTTCCGGAGAAATGTCCTTAAATCGCAAACATTTACTCCCTCCGTCCCTTAAAACTTTGCCAGCTTTCCATTTTTGGATGTCCCACTAACTTTGCCACTTTCCCTTTTAAGTAAAAAATTTGTGGTTCCAGTTAATTCTCTCTCCTCTGCACAAACCTCAACCACACAATTTTTACTTTATTAATCCTCGTGCCAGTCAAACTTGGCAAAGTTTTAAGGGACGGAGGTAGTATTAGTTATATAATCAAAATTGCAAGTGACTAAAATTACCAGACTAATAATGAAAACATATTGTACGTATTGTCTGATGCGTATAAAATTATAGAAATAAACATATTGTACGTATCAAAAGTTTGAAGAAATATGAGTTGTAAATACCAAAACATTCCTTTTAATTAAATAAAAAAGAAACAAAAAAAGAAGGGGGTGGCCTAGTTGGAAAAAGGGACATAATGCTCAGAAATAAGTTGTTCCGAAGCTGGTTTATCCAATGTGGGCCGACAATCTCTTATCATTAAAAAATAAAAAAGAAAAAGGGAAAAGAGGGGAATTGAATGAAAGGAAAGCAAAATTAAAGCAAAGAGCTGTGAGAATAATACGGAGTAATATTCATAAAAGAAAGGGCTTTTCTTTTCTTAAATTCTTGATGAAGTGAAAAATGGCCGGTGGGCATGTCAATTAATTTCCATTACTCAAAAAAGCCACCTGATACTTGACTTGTACCAGTGCATTTTACTCAACCCAATTTATTATTCAGCTCTTTATTATTTCCATTTCATAAAAAGAAAAAATTTGAAGTACATTTTGAGAATCAATTAATTTTTATTACAAAATATTACCTTGAAGAGTTACTCCACAGGCTAGCCGCAGTGCTGGAGAGAAAATCCGGTTCTTGTTGCAGAGAACCATCAAGAGGCCCCCTTTGGTCCATGAGCCGGATTCCTGCCCCGCCACCTATACTCCCCAGCACCGTCAGATCTTCATCCCCTGAGCCGTCCGATTGCCCTTCACCAAAACCAATGCAAAACCCCAGAAAATTAGGCTAAAAATCAAAGTCAAGACTGACCAAGATTAATTAATAAAGAATTAAGTATATATGAATATACCTGAGGAAGCAGCTGGTTTGTCAGTAGTTTTAACTGTTCGATACATCTGCATATGGGGAAATCAAAGCGTTATTAATTTATTTCTTTATTATCTCCCGTATTAAGACAATAACCCATCAAAAAGAAACACCCCACTTTTGTTTTCTTGCCAATAAACTATATAAGCCCAACAAAATGACCAATTACTTAAAACAAATGTATCAGATATAAAAAATCCAATAATATAGTCCAACCATGCCATTCTCTCTCTCTATCTCTATTGACAGACATTTTATATATGTATAGGCACAGATAAGATAAAGATTAAAGATGGGGCAGAATGGGGTTTTGGAGGAGGGTGAGGGTGAAGTAGTAATCATGTACTAATAATGTGTGTGTTTTTTGCTTGCTTTCTAGTCATTAGTCACGAGGAAGATGTTTGATAAGAAGGAAGTAGTAAGACTACTACTACACGGCCTATCTAGGTATACTATACCTAGCACCTTGTTTCTGTATTATTGAGAAATGATGACTTACTTTTGTCTCTTACACTCTCTCCCCCCTTTCTCTGTCATCAGACTTCATTTACTGTGTATTCTTTAATTTCATTCATTCACTACTGCCCCTCCCTCATCGGCTACTGTGCCTTCCTGCCCGACCTCCCCACCCCCACCCCCACCCCACCCCACCTTCAGCAGAGATTATGCAATATGGAGTGTAGTTTTAGTTTTTTGTAATTGTTTTTTGTTTAAAATTTTAAATCGTACCTGGAGATGACTCTTGACATGAGCAAGTGTGAGATCTTTGACATCCATTAACTCGAGTACTGATTTTGGAGTTGCCCCTTCATAACCAACAGAAAATTTTCGTCAAAAATATAATCTTTTCAATAATTACTGACCAAGGAATTAATTCTTGAGTGATAATAACACTAATAAGAAGAAAAGATTGGATTTTTAAGGCATATTATAGTTATAATCTTTTTTGGAGTTGCCCCTTCATAACTAACCGGCAATTTCCGTCAAAAGATATAATCTTTTCAAGAATTACTGACCAAGAAATGAATTTTAGTGTGATAATAACAATAAGAAGAAGAAAAGATTGGATTTTTAAGGTTTTTACTTTCATGGCCACCGAGGAGTTCGACGGCGTGGACGAAACGGGCGTGAAGGGTACTGGTCCACCTCATTCTTGGGGCCCGCATGCTGCGTTTCGCCGGGAGCTTGGGGAGGAATCTCGATCTGATCAACATCCCGGGGACCGACGGCGGCTGGGAGTCGTGGAAGTGGTGGTGCTGAGAGGCTGCGCTGCCGTACTGCTGCGGGTTATTGATTTGGTAGGCGGAGGAGAAGCCGTTGAATCTCCGGTAAGCGGATGAGGAAGGCGAGAGATGATCGAAGCCGTTGAAATACGGAGATGACGATGTGGGCGGCGGCGGCGGCGGGGGAGGCTGCATTGGGTAGAAGCACATCTTTCTGGGATCCTTGGTGTTCTCTCTAGCCGTAGGATGATGGTCTACGGGAGGCAAGAAGGGAAATGGACGGTTCTGATGGTACACCGGGATGCCCTTGATGGGCCGCAAGCCGTCGGATACATCCAACAGTGAGACCCCATGATTTATGTTACTCACCTGCTGACTGCCACCGCCGCCGGCGCAGCCACTATTATTGTTACTACTGTTATTATGATTATTCTGCTGAAAAGTGTGGTTTTGGAGGCGGGTTTGATGATAATAAGGAAAACTCTGATGAGGAGCAAGAACAGACTGCGGCGGCGGTTGGTTTTGTTGCTGATGATGTTGATGAGGATGTTCTCTGCCACCCGGACCACCGGCGGTTCTAAAGAACCGGCTGTCGTCTCGGGCCACGTCATCGGCTGTCGTGTTACCGGCCAAGGAGAGCTCCGGGTACGCGAGCGACGGCCGATGGCGGTTGGTCGTCGGGATATCGAATCCCGTGGCGGCAGCTACCAATTCATCGATGCAAGACGGCGGCGGAGGGGAGGAGGCTGTGTTCGGAGGGCTAATGTGGAGAGAAAGATCTGGCTTTGAATGAGCGGAAGCTGCAGGTTCTATGAAAACCCCTTCTAAGGGCATGTTTTTTCCCCTTTCTTGATCTTCAAAAAGACTCCTTTTTTCTTCCTTCCTTCTAAAGAAACCCACAGCGTAGACTTGCTTTAGCCTTTCTGCAAAAGACCCACACTTTTATTTGGAGAGATAGAGCTTGGAGAGGTGGCGGGTATGGAGGTTTTTAGTGAGAGAAATGAAAAAGGTTCTCCTTTTTTGCCAATTAAAGACGACAGAGAGAAGAAGGGAATGGAATTGGAGAAAGGATCGGAGGAGAAAGGGGAATTGAAGAAGGGGGGGATTTGGGGTGAGGTGTTCCTAGCTCGAGAGTATATCTTGGAAAATGACACTAGAACAATGAGGTCTCTCTATCCATCTATACTAACTAGTCAAAACTAGCAAAAAAACAAACCCTTTTCTTTTTTATGGTTTAAAAGAAATGAGAAAAAAGAAGATTGACGCAGAAATAATTAACAAAGGTTGAACACTTTTAAATTATTATTATTGAAAAGAAAAAGAAAGATAAAGGGTCGCTTTTTGATTGATTTCCCCTTTTTTCATGACTTCCCCGTAGAGAACGGGTTAGAAAAATGGTTGAGAGAGAAAGAGACACATCTCTGTGATTCTTTTCCCCCCACCCTCTTTGCTTCCCTACCTCTGGTCTTTTCTTCTCCTCTCACTCTCATTTAATTTACTTTTTACTGCTCATATATTTAAATACATACAATAGTTTTGAAACATTAATTAATACTATAGTATATACTGTATGTATTTTCGTATGCAAGTTAGTACATTAATGAATTTGGAGCTACACCATTTCCATGCTACAGAATGGGCAGGCAGATCAAATCATGTATTCAACGTCTTTCGGATTTTCAATGCTACATGTTTATATTTCTTTTTTCTTTTCATTCACTGCTAGGTCTACAACTATGTATAGATCCACTTAAAATAGTGCCTCCAAGAGATGATTTTTTTAGAAAACTATTTTTTATTTGTACTTATAACAAAATACCTCGCTGTACACGGTACAAATATACAAACCATTTAGATACGTTTTATGTAAAAGCCTCACATTGGGTAACAAAAGTTATCTTTCTAATAATAAGATCTTGAGTGTTGATAGATAACAAAGGAGTAATTTAGATATTGATGTCTATCAGCTAATCAAGGTTCAATCATTTAGGGAGCGTTTGCAAACGCGTTTGCTTTTAAAAAATGTGTAGTGATTTTAGCAAAAGATATTAGTAGTAAAGGTTAAGAGTGTTTGAGAAAAAAAGTGATTTTGAAACGTAAAAGTTAGTAATGATTGATAAAATATGTGCTTTTTGTGTAATATAAAAAGTAAAAAAACAATTTTCAACCAAAAGGCGAGATGCGTTTTTTTAAGTAATTGTCACTTTTTTTTGAAAAATAATTAAGTAATTGTCACTTGAAAACACTAATTTTAGGTTTTTTAAACCAAAACTCGAGAAGCGTTTTTGTTTTAACTATTTGCAAACGGACCATTGATTGGCTTTGACCCAAGTGCAATACGAACCATGGAACAAAACAAGCCCAAACTTCGTTCCCAATCCTATGATTTGAGTGTCACCTATATATATATATATATATATATATATATATATATATAGGTGAGAGAGAGAGAGAGGACTGCTCAGGTCCAGCCGGAGGGAAGGGAGCAGCCGTCCGAACTTCACTGTTTGGGGTGGTTCCCGGTGGAATTTTTCGATGAAATTTTTTGAGCATGTTCCTCATCAAGTCTAGTTTGTCCATACCAAATTTCAGCTCAAAATTCGACCGGGAAGGCAGTCAAATAAATTCTTGAAGCTTACTGCACATTCTGCGCACATATAAAGTGCAGTAAGTTTCAAAAATTTATTTGACTGTCTTCCTGGTCGAATTTTGAGCTGAAATTTGGTATGGACAAACTAGACTTGATGAGAAACATGCTCAAAAAAATTCATCGAAAAATTCCACCGGGAACCGCCCCAAACAGTGAAGTTCGGACGGCTGCTCCCGTCCCTCCGGCTGGACCTGAGCATTTCTGTATTATATATATATATATATATATATATATATATATATATATATATATATATATATATATATATATATATATATATATATATATATTAGTAGGATATATAAACACATTGGAGCTTTATGCTTTATATTATGATAAACGTTATTCACTTTCTCAAGGGAATGTCGCTTAATTACTTTATAGTTTTAAAATAAACTCAGCTAAATAATATAACGAGATATTTGCTAAAAAGTTACTTATTTAAAATGTATGAATAAAAATGTGAATGTTACGAGTACTATATTTATGTGTGTGTTCACTTTTTCAAAAAAAAGTGACAATTACTTAAAAAAACGCATCTCGCCTTTTGGTTGAAAATTGTTTTTTTACTTTTTATATTACACAAAAAACACATATTTTATCAATCATTACTAACTTTTACGTTTCAAAATCACCCTTTTTTCTCAAACACCCCAAACAGTGAAGTTCGGACGGCTGCTCCCTTCCCTCCGGCTGGACCTGAGCAGTCCTCTCTCTCTCTCTCTCACCTATATATATATATATATATATATATAGGTGACACTCAAATGAGAACGAGTCTTAACGTGAGAACGTGAGAACACATCTCAGCCATCCAAAATCAATAACCATCTGCGATCAAATGAAACGTAGGAAAGGACATTTCAGTCTTCTAACAATTACGTTATCTCACATGGTAATTATAAAAACTATCCATACGGATGAATTTTTTCATTTCCCTAAAAACTAGGTAATAACAAATCTCAAATCATATAAAATTTCTTTAGTTTAAAAATTGATTTAACTTCTTAAATAATGATCCGATTTTAACAAAAATTATACCAAATTAAATAACTTTTTATGCTCTTTCATATGACACCAATATGTCATATATAATTTTTAAAAATAAAATATGTATAAAATGTATACAATAAAGAATAACACACATTTCCAACTACTAGGTGCACAAGAGCATGTATCCAACACACATTAAGCCTTAATGTGAGAAGTAAGAACACATCTCGGTCATCCAATATACACACTCAGTAGAGATGATATGATGAGAAGCTAAGGCAATTTCGTATCATACTTTTTGTGATGGTTGTAACTTGCACAATGTTGGCGTGTAACTTGCACATGTATTAATGACAATATTTTCCACTAATAAATGAATATAGTGCACATTATTAATCACATTCTAGGTTCCTCACCTAAATAAAAAAGCCACACTTGAACGAAAAATCAATTTGGAATATCACTACTATGTCATTCAAGTTCACTACTATTTCATTCACATGCACAAAAACTCTTCTTTAGCTATTTATTCACTACTGCCTATTATATCCTTCATTTTTTTTGGGATAAGGGTTGGATTTATTTACATGAATGCATATTGGTGTGATGTCTGAGTTGGAGTGAAGCTTTTTTTTTTTCAGAAAAAAGAGATCATTTAGCAAAAGTGAAATAAAGAAGAGTATTTGTGCATGTGAATCCAATAATAGTGACAGCTAGTAGAGTTTGTTTATAAGTTGAAGTTTTTTATGTCTGATATTGTGCATGTGAAAACCAATATTGTGCAAGGAATTTGTGTTTTTTCGCATAAGCTAATAGGCAGAATTAATTAAATATTATTTGTGCATAAGCTAATTGATGTGCAACAGCACAATTGCAATTCGATGATACACAAGAAAAAAATCTAGTAAAATATGTACATGTGCAATACCAAAACTATGCAATCGTTAATGGATTAACTCTATTTTTATGAGTGGAATTGGTGCGTGATTGTGGCTAATTTTTCGGGAAGTGGAAATTTAAAAACGGTACCCATAATAGGTAGCTTTTTCCTGTTGTGACATTTCTACCCTTTAAGGACTTCACGTGTGCTGAAATTAGTTTCCATGATGCGTATTTATGTGACGCAGTGCACGATCGAACTGTGCAACTTCAACTTATATCACCGTTCATTCCACAAGATTAAGAGTCCGGATTTGTTCTCACTTCTCACGATAAGGAGTGTTCTCATTAGAACCACTCCCTATATCTATATCTATATATATATATATATATATATATATATATATATATATAGTTTTTAGTGGCACTTATAAAAAAAGATGACATCTCATTTCAGAGGGTTCTCAGAACAAACAAAATTGATGATTTAAATTAAATTTTGGTCATATTATGATGGAAAGAAAGTGAGATTTTATTTCAAGTCGTTGCTTGGAGTTAATTGTGTCACTTATCTCTTGTGACACTGTCTTCTGAGTAGGCGAACTACGCCGTCGATTTAGTGGCACCTTATATACGGGCATTAGTGTGTGTGTCTGTGTGTGTAATGTACACATTGTCCTGCTTTATTGAACATAGTTCTTTCCCCGAGAAATTAAACAAAATTTATGTAAATGCATAATTCACAGTGTTATAATTTTTTTATTACAAAAATGCCGCCAATGCACTGTCATATTCATGACGCTCTTTGTTAGTAATATACGGTTCGTGAATAATACAATAATACGTACGTTCGTGTATAATACGATACAATTATATAAAATACAGCTTAATATATGTTTCATACGTTCGTGAAATATATAAAGATACGGACGCGTTTTAAACGTTTCACAATTTAAAAATACGGCATATAATGATAGAAATAAAAAGTTATTTAGCATTTGAACCACATTCATCAACAATTTAAAATGTACGGAATATTTTTTCATATATACGGATTTGAACACATAAGTACAATAAGTAATAAAAATGGCATTGTTTATTTGAGTAGAAGTAGAGAGATATTATTAGAGAATAGTTGATATTACTGTGACCGTGAGTTTGGTGAGCCGCCACAACATTTTTCGATCTCTTTGGAGTCTTGGTGTGGATCGTTGCGCTTACCGCTACACTAAAAGCAATCGCTGATAGTGTAGCACGCCCCTCACCATTTATAGCACATGCGAAGCGCCACGCGGTCCGATTGCACCGGCAGGCTGGCTGTTGCTGGCACCGCATACCCGCGGCCCAACAATCTCCCCCCCAGCACCTGCCAGCCTACAACTGCGCAACATGCTGTTGCCGGGGGTCGAACCCGTGACCTTGGCTCTGATACCAATTGTGGATCGTTGCGCTTACCGCTACACTAAAAGCAATCGCTGATAGTGTAGCACGCCCCTCACCATTTATAGCACATGCGAAGCGCCACGCGGTCCGATTGCACCGGCAGGCTGGCTGTTGCTGGCACCGCATACCCGCGGCCCAACAATCTCCCCCCCAGCACCTGCCAGCCTA